TTATCCACTGAATGGGATTCCTTTTCAAGAGCATCGGTCAGGTTAACTTTGTCAGCTCTGATGGATTTACTATTGAGACAGGAGTAAATGGTAGTGTCATCTGCATAAATGCCTACTTGGGGACTGATGACATCAGGAAGATCATTGATGAAGATCAGAAACAGCATATGACCCAGGATAGGTCCTTGAGGACACTCGCATTCGTGTGAAAGAATCTGGAAACGACCTTTATTTCACGATTTGATGGGAACGATTGGATTAAACCAAATAATCGTAGCCCTGGAGCGTGTTTGATTATACATTCTTTTTTGTCCAGTAGTGAAATTTCGTGATCGAAAATCTTATAAAAAAGCGTCTCCAGATAGGAACTGAATTTGTATTCAACTTTTCCATTATGGAAACCACATTTAAGTCAAATATGCTTTACCAATTAGGATACGAGGGAATATATCAACTAACAGCGCCCGTAGAAATTCCACAGTTTGACTACAAATGTAATAAAAGTTTATCGAAAAAATAAAAGCCTAGGTAGTATTGAGGGACCAGTTTTAATAGAAAACCTTGTGTTCATAAAGAAATAGTTAAAAATTAATTATAGTGTGGAAAATAATTCTAGAGTCTGTCTATATTTCTGAGATGAGGTATTATGTACATTATTTACGGTATTCGGACTATTGTCCTCATCTTTGTCGCCATATTTATCAACGTTTCAGACGTTGTATGCTGCCTTCTTCAGGTGGTTGGAATTTCGAACTGAACCCTTTATTTCCGCTCACTGGGAACTGTTTGATTCCCACGTGCCATGTTTGATGGATGTCAGTTATCAGTTCCCCCTGTTAATTTCCCTCTGACACATTGCACAGTGGATAAAGGCATTGGTTAGATCCAGTGACAGGACCCAAAGAGTATGAGTTCAATACCCGGTTAAGGCAGTGGAGAACTTTGGAGGAAATTAACAGGAGATAACTGATAACTGACATCCATCAAACATGGCACATGGAACTAGAACAGTCTACCCCAGTGAGCGAAATAAAGGGTTCAGTTCGACATTCCAACCACTTGAAGAAGGCTGGAGCGTACAACGGCCGAAACGTTGTGATAAATATGGCGGCAAAGATGAAGACAATAATCCGAATACTGCAAATAATGAAAATAATTCTAATAAAATAAAACAATCATGATTCTCAATTATTCCCTCATTCTAAACCAATGAGAATCGATCCCACTTTTTCTCTTCCACACACATAAACACGTGGCATTCTCACTATCGGAAAAGCAGTTCACACGGACAGGTCGTTAACAGGTGCGTCAACTAAAATGTCATCTCCTTTTCCTTTTTCATGCCATAATAGTAACATTTATGTTTTAGCACGCAACAAAATTTTGAGGTAAGAAAATCACAGACACTTGTATTTTCTAACTAAATTATCTGGACACTCATTAAGCACATCTATAAAAATAACTACGAGAAAGACTGTATACACTTTGTTTGTTCTTTATCATATTATTCTGTCATATATCGATCTATATTTTATCTATATTTGACCCCGTGCTCTCAGTTTTACTCAGTATTACTGTCTCTCGTGTCTTCAACACCACATAAATAATATTCGTTTTGTTGTCGTTACGTCTTGCTGTTTCTCCTTCTTACGAGTATTTTTGTCTATATAAATGTAAGGGGGGTTAAAATTATTTAGTCTGAGTTATAACTCCTCTACAAATTCTTTGCAAACAAATGAAAGCATAGTTAGTATTGAAGAGCCAGTTATAGGAGAGAACCTTTTTAAAGACAGCATTCTTTCTTATCAACACGTCTCCCTTCTTTTTCCAATCTTTCTTAATTCTCTTTTTGGCAATTTTTGATCTTTGCCCGTTTGTAAGTTTTCCAATGCTGAAGTGTATTAATTAACTGAAGAGAAATAAATATTTTAAATCTCCTCTTTCTCCAACCTGGCGCCGATCTAAGTCATCTGCAAATACGAAGTGTACATTTTGCCCCCCAACCCCAACATATCTATCTCCCCCACCCTCTTATTAAACCACCAAACCCTTTACTTTGTTCGAGTGTTACGTTTCACAAAAGCATCGATAACAAAATAAATGAAGAAAGGAAAAAGAAAACAACTTATGAATATTTATTGTTTGAAAACATACTTCATCTTGGAAAGTAATTATATTTAATATGTTGATCTATTAAATGAAAGGTACTCTGCCCGACCAAAAGGAAAATTCTGATCTTTGGCCAGATTTAAGGAATTGGGTCAAGCCGAGAACACACAACACACACACACACACACACACACAGATATATATATATATATATATATATATATATATATATATATATATTAGTTTGCGCCGCCCTTTTTTTCTCTCTCTCATCCTCTCTTTTCTTGTATACATAAGGTTAGTAATGCAAAACAGACGGAAAATTTTCACATATACATCGGCAGGATGAAGTAGCTGGATTTTAAGTTTACTTCACATCGTTTTTTATTGTGCGTAGTGTCACCACAAATGTGCCCACACGTTTCCGGTGTCTGTTTTTTTTATTTATTTTAATTTTAGGACAGCGAATCGGTAGTGATTTATGCATGTGAAAATAATTCATATTTATCTGTATCTCATTCATTTAAAACATTATTTAACTCTTCTTTTTAAAACTTCTCTCTTTTAGATTTTAAACCCCACCTTCACCTTTAAGCCTTCCTGTTCTTCTTTCTTCAATTACACCCTCTCTCTAGAGCTTTCATACATTTCCCTCTCACTCATGTTTCCCACACCCACACATACACTCTCACTAAAATTTGCGTTTTATACCCGGAGTTATATTTTCTGATTTCTTTTTGAATTTGTAGGTCTGATGAATTGGATCGTGATTACGATTCCAATATAATAAATTATAACGATGGAATATTAGTGTTTGAGCCTTATTATATATATATATATATATATATATATATATATATATATATATATATATATATATATATATATATATATATATATATATATATATATATATAAATATATATATATATATATATATATATATATATATATAATATATATAAAATTTTAGAAATAAGTTATTCTAAAAAAAATTCGCTTGAAGATGGAACAGAGCTTAGTACTTTAATTCAATTTAATTCAAATAATTATATTGAAGTTTTCGGTTCTTGTTTTGAAACATGAGAACTCTTATGTAGCGTGTTGGAATCATATTTTTAAATAAATAATTATATATATATATATATATATATATATATATATATATATATATATATATATATATATATAATGCTGTTAATAAAAAACAGTGTTAAATGTCAAACAGCAGAGTTATTAAGCAAATATTAATAAATATACATATTAGCCCACACCGGTAGCACGAATCAGAGTTTCATGCACAACGCAATCTTCAGGTGCATGGATATATATGTCTTTATAAAGCCCGTTTATTTCAAATGAAAATATAAACGGGAATTAGATCACTTCCCAGATATTTAAATTTCTGTACCTGCTTGATTGTAGTGTCCCTGACCTGTAAATAGCATTTTACGGACATCTTTTCGCTCATGGCCATACATTCTGTCTTCTTGTAGTTTATGCTTGTTCCTTCTTCTCACTCTCTTCGTTACCTTCTGTGAGAGGTTTTGTAATTTCCTGTCCGTCTCTGCTATCATCACTGTGTGATCTGCATATCTTATGTTGCTAAGATTGTACACGTTCTTCTGCAGTTGTAATGCTCTTTCTGATAATATTCTGAGCATGAATATCACATTCCTTGTTCCAGTGTCTTTAAAGAACCCGGACTGTTCTTGTCCAATCTCTGACCTGATTCTAATGCGTGGTCTATTTATCCGAATACGGATGATGATTTCTGTTATGTTGCTTATTACATGGCAGCAATATTCTAAGCATGGACGAATGGCACACACACACACACACACACACACACACACACACACACACATATATATATATATATATATATATATATATATATATATATATATATATATATATAATAAAAAGGCTCAAACACTAATATTCCATAGTCATAATTTATTACATTGGAATCGTAATCACGATCCAATTCATGAGACCTGTATGTCTGGTGAATTGGATCGTGATTACCATTCCAATATAATAAATTATAGCCATGGAATATTAGTGTTTGAAACTTTTTTTATTATATTATTACTCTATCCTGGACATTGAGTTCTACCTGGATTCTATCATCTTGGGAATTTATATATATATATATATATATATATATATATATATATATATATATATTGACCACTAATATTATCTATCTATCTATCTATCTATATATATATATATATATATATATATATATATATATATATATATATATATATATATATATATATATATATATATATATATATATATATATATATATATATATGCGTGTGTGTGTTTTTGTCCGGTGGGGGTTACAATTATATATTCGTGGTGGCCGGCCCAGCTCCCAAAATACGACCAAAGGTTCAAACATCAGAAAAAAACTGTCACTCGGCGACTCAACACGGAGAAGACGCTGAGAAATGCCAGGTGATTTTGAAAATGGAATTCTTTTCAGTTCGAGATCAAAATCTAAAATGTTTTATTACAAACATCGTCCCTATTTCTTCATTTGCTTCTTTCAAGAGACTAGATTTTTTAAACGAATTCTATCTTGAAAAATACGCAAAACATCCTCAGTTAAAGGAATAAATTTTACCAGGAAGAGTTTTTTGTTGTTGTTGTTGTACTTTTTTTTTTTTTACTTCTACGATAAAATGTATCACTGCACATTTTTTTATATCGTCAAACCTCAAAGTAGAACTGTGAACATTTGTGTCTGTTGTTTTTCATCGTCTGACAGAAAATAAATTTTCACGTGTTATAATTCTGGAGTGTCGTAGCGGTATTCATTTTGCCTTGTTTTTACACATTTTCATTATTTTTACTTATTGTATATAACATACAAAATGATACGACTGAGACACCGAAAATGTACAAAGAGAATACAATCTAGTCATACAAAACAGATAGATAGATAGATAGATAGATAGATAGATAGATAGATAGATAGATAGATATGAATAGACTAGATAGAAACAGTTACGAATAGATAGATGGATAAATATGAATACATACATACATACATACATACATACATACATACATACATATGAATAGACGAGATAGAGATGGATAAATAGACATGTAGATGGATAGATAGAAAATATGAATTGATAGATAAAATATGAATAGATAGATAGATAGATAGATAATTTTTAATGAATGAAGTAACTGTTATGGTCCAGTTCCTTGTACCACGGTGATAGTCCAAGGTAGAACCAATAAAGAAGAACTCGAACACGGATATTGAATAACACAAACAGGAATATATACAGAGAAGTAGAAGTGTTAGTATGAACAATCAGGTTTAGTAGAGAGAACAATGTAGTTTCGATCAGTATCACTATTCCAAATGTCTTGTAGTAATTGTCTGAACGCGACTCTGTTTCGGACTGCCTCTGACTCGACTGACTGACTCGCTCCGACTGACTGACTGACTGACTGACTGACTGACTGACTGACTCCTGATGGACTTCACTCCAGACAGACTGAACAGTATTTAGTCACCCCCCACCCCCACGAGGGCATCATGTGGCACAAGGCCGGTTTAACGTGGGGTCTCCGAGCCCGTGGGCTCGGCCAAAAATATGCCATTTGAACCCGTATAAACGGGTTCAGGGTCGGTTTACCTCCCCGAAATAGACTCCGCCCTTCGGCGTAGCCTCGTTCGGGTTCCTCGCCGCCCGAAGGCAGAGAGTTCAACCGATTAACCGATCAGCCGGTCGCCCGACTTCGGACTGAACTCCCTGCTTCCTCTTGAGGCGCAGTATTTATTACGTATGGAATAGTCCATTATGTTATTATGGGTAAGGTCCCATAACAGTATCCATCAGTGGAAATTATGGGAGGGAAGGCAGGAGAAAATCAGTAAAAGGAGATCGACCGAAAAAATACCACAAAAAATAATAAAAATAATAATGAACAAAATGCATAGATGACCTAATAATAAAAGGGACCCGTCTAAAAATTAATGTCTTCTGTTTATTTCCCCACAAAGTACAACTGATACAAGGATTAGAATCATGTCGTTGAAGTTTTCGGCTGAAAAACAGTATTTTTCTTCCTAGTCACCAATAATATGCATATTCGCCAGTGATAAACAATAACATTTGCAAGACAGCACGTAACGTGACATGTCATACGCATTGCTATCCCTATTGATGAGCCTCCGTTTTACCCGAACCGTGCTCACATTCCTTGTTTGGTCTTCGTAAATATACAGTCAGCGTCGTCGAATGTCATTAGGAATATTTTTCAGTTCTCTGACACACCTATGTTTCTAAGAATTTTCATGTAAGATGTCAGTGACAGACTGTCATATGTAATCAAAAGAAACTGTGTTACTTACGGCAAGGTTTAGCTTCTACAGCCACACAACAAACATCCCTCTCTGATGTCAGCATCTAACATAACAAAAGAATTATTGCTTTAAATAAACAAGGTGAAGCAGAAAAGTTCTCGTCCCGACAAATTTCTAAAATGTAACTAAATATCACAATTGTGCAAGCAATGGCCACCAACTATTCACCACAACATCGTTTATATATATATTTATATATAGCTCACTTAGGAAGTGGAAAGAAAGCAATAAATTTTGGTCTCTGTCTGGTGGAATTTCCAAGGAGTACTGCATTTCGAGCCTGGTCCACACGATCGCAACATCAACGTTAAACTGAAGGAGTATTGTGCTTTGATCAATCGAGATTGGGATTTCTTTCAGTAAGACAATGAGAGGCCGCACACTGGTAAGTTAACTAAGGAGAAGTTCAAACAGATGGACGGTGTTGAGATTCTTCCATATCGATTCTTCCATTATCTTCAGTCCCAATGCTGCTCCGAGTGACTATGGCTTATTCCGCTCAATGGCACACTTCCTTCGCGACCAGAGATTCAGCACTTTTTATGAAGTAAAGGATGCTTGTTTAGAGTTTTTTGATTCAAAGCCAGTGGACCGGTATCTGAGATAAATTCGGATGCTGACTGATCATTGGCAGAAGATCGTCGTGAATAATGGACTGTATTTTGAAGAATAAATGCTGGTGTTGTTCCATAAAATTTTCTTGTTTCCTATCCGTTTGCTAAGTCAGTTAGGACTTTCTGGCCAACCTGATATCTCTATTTATAAAAGGCAGGATGTCTGTCTGTGTGTGTGTGTGTGTGTGTGTGTGTGTGTGTGTGTGTGTGTGTGTGTGTGTGACGAATTCACGGCCGCAATTTTCGATGGATTTGCACCAAAATTTACATGCTCATGCTCCAAGTTAGTGGGAAGGCCAAGACCGACTTTGCATTTCCCAACTCCCATCCATAGTGGAAATAATCTATTTTTTTCATGCTTCTACGGCAGTTGTCATATAGTTTGCTTCCGTTTTCTACTGGCCAGAGTGAGAGCCTATAGCTGGCCGCCACGAATAGACAGGAAGATTCTATTGGCCAGCGTCAGAGCCAACAGCTGACTGACACGAATGTTAACTAGCATGCTAGCATGCAAAAAAAATCGATAGCTGCATTCGTCACAAGTGGGAAAAATTTAAATCTGCATGGCACTTTACTCCAATTGGCTCATTCGCTTGCTTAAACTCAACGTTGATGCTAATTCCGCAGGACTGGGTTGGGTGTGAAAAAGTATTTGTTGTTAACATTCTTTTTCATTCGGTTTTCCAGTTACGAGTCCTTTTTAAAGCTGATCGTTTTGTGTTCATTTTATTTAGTTCTTTTTTCGTAACAGATTTAATGTTTAGTATAGAGTTTAGAAAAAATTCATAGTGTGAGATGGACAAGAAGTAAGGCATGTAGCAACATCAGCACGGCAAAGGGCACCCCTTTAAAGGCAAGGAAGGGCAAAAATATTTTAAGTCAATTGATAGAGATTGCTGTCTGAGTCGTACGATTTTTGAATCAAGCACGGGCAACGCCGGGCCATGCTGCTAGTATACATATATATATATATATATATATATATGTATATATGTGTGTGTGTGTGTGTGTGTGTGTGTGTTTGTTGTGTGTGTGTGTGTGTGTGTGTGTGTGTGTGTGTGTGTGTAAATTTATACTTGTATAAATCAACTAGAGCATAAAGGACTATCCGGAAATCGACCAATTACAGTAGATTTTGAAAGTGCTCTATACCTCAACCGTAGAGCCGATGTATAGAGCACTATTCTTTAACATCATTATTGTCTAAAATATAACAAACTTACGAAGCATGTGCGATTTTACCCTCGGGTCTTCAGACTGGTTTGTGTAATAACAAAAAAATTGCTATATATATATATATATATATATATATATATATATATATATATGTATATATATATATATATATATATATATATATATATATATATATATATATATATATAAGTATTTAAACGTAATAATTGTGCCTGAAAGTACTGAAGTGAAAAAAAAACGTGATCGATGTCAAATAAAATACGTACCCCAAATTTGATATAACGATATAGTTTTCTTCACTTCTACCCCTCCGTACCGACAGTTTCAAACACTTTTTGCAATCCACAGGAGGCGCGAAATAAAGAACCAACAGATTGCAAAAATAACATAAAACTGTCAATAGCGGAGGGCTAGGTGCGCTGAAAGTTTATGAACTCAAATATATATACATGCAAGAAAAGGAACATACACATGAAATAATGACCTCTTCAATGGAGAGAGTTGGGCCCCGTCAGGCTCTCTTGCCCAAGAAACACCGCTTCTACTTCGGCTTACAGGATTCGAGACCGATACATATATATGTATATACAGTAATTATTGGGAGGATTTGATAATTATATTTAATTAATTCATCGAGTCTGATAGAAACCTCCACTGAATGCAGAAAGCACTGGACGGCCGTTTCGTCCTATATTTGGGACTCATCAGCAGTGCGCATCCACTACCGAGAATTGAAACCCTGACAGTTAGGTTGTCAAGCAAACAGCATACCAACTGTTCCAAATGGGCCTCGGTGACGAAGAGATTCCAAATCAGACTCAACTTAGCGCCGCTCTCTCACATATTCCGTGGCGGAACTCTACTGAATTCTCTGTAACCATAGGACTGTGCCCCCTGGAGCCACGACTACTCTCACCAAGCCGCTCCAGCATTAGAAGCCGGTATGTACTTTCTAAAATCTATATATTTATATATATATAAAACCCCAAGACGACATTCATAATAAATAAAAATTTAAACTTCAACTCCAAAAATGTGATTCATGTACTCAAATGCACAAAATGCAAGAAAACATATATAGGTATCAGCCAAAAACTAAATAAAAGGATCTCCCTACACAAAAGCAACATAAAATTACGAGACACACAGAAAACTCTTTGTATCACAAAACATCTATAAATGTAAGCATGGTGAATTTAAAATGATGCCAATATACCAAACAGATAATTATTCTACAGATACAAGAAAAAAGCTTCATAAACAAATTTAAACCAGCACTAAATAAATCACAACCCCACGCGGAAAATCACACAACATGCACACATAATGGCCAAATACAGTGCTCAAACCACTCGCATCCATACGGAGACATGTGGAGCACGAATATGTATAACAAAAACAATAGACTGCTCACAGGCACGCGCGCAAACCCAACACAACATAGGAATTGTGTGTGTGTGTGTGTCGATGTATATGTGTGTGTATGTATGTGTATACTAATTCCTTATAATAAGACAGTATGTGTGTATAGAGAGGAAGTGCGCATGTGCATGCGCGTACTGGTATATATATATACAGTGTAACCCGGATATAAGTGACCCGGATATAAGAGAAACCCGGATATAAGAGAGATTTTCTCTGGTCCCAAATTAGAGCCATACTTACTTAAACA